CCGGTAACCAAAAGGCCTTGTAACTTGTCAGAACCTCGTTCAAAATTAGGGTATGACACTAACAGAAAAGATGTCACACTAACGTGCACTTCCCAGAAGATTAGAAGAAAAGGGTTTCGCAGCAGTTTATATACAGTTCAAATAATATCAAAGTGGTAAAAAGCGGCAATTAGTACATTAGGCCCAAGCATGTAATAAAAATTAGATAATAAATAAAATCCAAATATAACAATTATTCTAAGCTCGAATTCTTGAACCCTGAACCATAGATTCTGTGTTCTTGTCCCCAGCAGAGTCGCCAGAGCAGTCACACCTCCTTTTTCTACTCCGAAAGGGGTATAAGAGAGTTTTTCCAATTAAAGTGACAATAATCGAAACATGATTATTTATTTAAGTTCAGAGTCGCCACTTGGAATAATTTATGTTTTCCCAAGTCACCGTTTTAAAATCCCGAATCAAGGAAGTTTGACTTTGTTTTACAATCCGCGAAACACAAAAATCCGGGTAATGAATTCTGTTATCTCGGGAGAAGGTGTTAGGTATTCCCGGATTCCGTGATTTTAGCACGGTCGCTCAACTGTTATTATTGGACTAATTATCTGATTAATTGCATACTTTATACCTATTGTGCATTTTTAAATTTCTAGCCGCTTTAATTATTTATGGAATTATTCTAGAACAAGTTACGATTGTCGTACACTTATTTGTTTGGTACATATTGTGAATCGTGTCACAGGAACTGTACCCACGATCTACAACATGTTTAATTTATTAACATTATTAGTTATTGTGGTCTGGTCACATAAATGTACCCCTGAATTTAAAAATTATGTATCACAACTACGTTACGGGAACCATACCCGTAGCCATGATAATTTTATTATAGCGCACCTGAAGCAAACTACGAAGGTTCATGAGTCATTTTCCTAAAAAAACTAGTTTGATATTATTGCAAAAACCAAAGGTTATGGAAATTCTTTTGTGGAAAAAGAGTAGGATTCCATACAAAGGATTATTTACGAGACCAATTTCATCACTAAGTAATAGAAAAATACTTACAATTACTCATTATGAGACCTATGTGGGCTAGCTTGTGAATTTTTATTATTATGAGCCTGGAAGAATCTAAATTATCAATTACAAAGACTAACCATCTACAACATCACCAAATGAAAACAGATAGCTAAATATGAAGCAAAGAGTGCAATAGATATGCATAAACTAATATTTTTAGTTTTGCACCGATCACAATAATGCACTACAGTCCTAGACGACAAGAGATGCCAATAAAATTTTCAATGTCATAAGAACAACATCAAGCCTGCGAAGAAACATATACTGCCCCATACTTAAAGCTGTACTTAAGCACTTAATTTTCCAACCATTTTTCATATCAGACAGCGATACGAATTAAATCAGTACAAAACTTAAATCACATTCTTATGAAGAACAAAGTTCAATCACACCACAAATTCAGCAATTAAAATTTTAAACATTCCAAAAATCAACTTGAAATAGCAGATATGGAAAAACAAGAAACTGGAGAAAAGAGAAAAAAAGAAGCTAATAGACTTAAAAGAATACAAGAATTGAAAGCATGAACATAGTTGAGTTTTCAATTCCTTGATATGCCTGTCTCTTCCATACAAACATGACTCATATCCAATTGGTAATCCCAAGATCAAGAGGAGCACCTGATTACACCAAAAGCAACAGAGTAGAAAATAAGTTTGAGGCTGGAATGAAGCAACAACAATCAGAACAAGAGTAGCAGAAGCAATGATAGTAGAACCAATAATTCCCTCAAACCACACCAGTTCTCGAATCCGGAAATTATGCAATAAACCAATTAGGTTGACAACAAACTTTAAAACTTCTCTTTTTGATTGCTTTTTCTTATGTTTTTAGAGTATTTTTAGCTATTAAAACTTAGATTTGGAGCTTAGAATTCATAGCAGTTGTATCCCTTCTTTTTCTGTCTCAGATCTCCCTCTAAAAATGAGTGAAATGAGCTTTTATAGCAGGATTCTAGGGCAGCAAGACCTGATTTTCTTAATTCATTCTCACCTCTCTTCAATTCTATTGTTGTTCAATTGAATCCCCAATCTTTAACCCATTTGTTTAATCAGCCTATTCCCCAATTTCCTAGAACCTTCCTAGGTAATTATGAAAGATTCCTTCAATCCAATTCTCCTAAATACCCTTTAAACATCTGTTATATACCTTTCAAAAATACCAGAAATCTGGGTCATATAGCCAAACATGCTCAATACTCTCTTTAGGCTTTTGCACTAACAAGATCAATTCTGAATCCAACCCAATAATCAGAAACAAGTTCAATGGAGGTTTAAACAAACAACCTCTGAATTAAATGGAAAAGTAGATTTTAAAAAAGCACTCAAAGGACGGCAATACATTCACAAATGCGATTAAACTAATTGTTAAGCTATCGCTGCTGGAGAATCAATTATGAACTAGAAACAACTTAGACATAAATTTGATATCATATGAGAGGTTATGGAAAGAGGAACAAAGGTATACCAGCCAATTTGCTAAAGATTCTGGTGACCCGAAGAAATCAACAACGAGTCGATTACAAATCCGACGAACAAGGATATCGTCTAATAATGGAAATTGTAACATGATCACTGGCCGGAATTTCTTCAACGGCTAGTGCTCCATGTTACAATCCTCAATATCTGGCAAGAAGAAGATGAAGCAGAGGCTCAAAGTATTTTAGACCATCAATGGTTGCTCGCCCAGAATCCAACCACCACAAGACTAGTTGGAACCAAAGCCAATTGACTCCTCACATCAAAAAATAATCGATTAAGGTATGTTCAACATCAATAAGAGTCCAGATTAGGAGGAAATTAGAAAAAGGGGCGAAAGAGACTTTATTGTTATCCTTAGATCTCTAATTCAGAGAAGATGCGTGATTTTTGGAAGGAAATAGCGGTGGATTTGGAGTAAAGGGACAATAGGGGTTATGTGGTCAAGATTTGAGGGAGTTTGGAGACCAACCACCGCCACAAGCGATTCGGTGGGTGGAGGACGGTGGTGAGAGATAAGGTGTAGGGGAGATGATAGAACAGGGTCTTAGGTTGTACCTGGGGCATTTGGACAGCTTTAAACAAATGAAATGAAGCATTTCTGGGCATTGGATGAAAGAAACTGAAGGGCGACGATTAACTTTGACTGGTTTTGACTCAATACGACGCAGTTTCGACTTAGTATTTCGTCGTTTTAAATGTCTCAATGACTGAAGGGTTTGAACCGGGTAAAGGGAATGGGCTGTGGCGGATCGGAAGGGAAAGGGGGTTTTGGGCCACAAATTGGGTCTTTTGGGTGGCCCAATATTGAAACAACTTTTTTATTCTTTCTTTTTCTTTCTTTCTTGAATAAAAATCCTAACTAAATTAATTAAATCCTAAAAAATATTAATTAAGCTAATTATCAAATTATAATGTTTACAAAATTAGTTTATCCTAAAATGAAAAAGAGGAAACTAATAATTTAGAATTAAAGGATAAAATGCAAAAATGAATGGTATTTATTATATTTTGTGATAACAATTAACTAACCAAATTAATCCTAAAATACGAACACACTACCTAATATGCAATGCATAGAATTTTGATATTTTTGGGGGGTATTTCTATGTTTTAATGCATGCAAAAATGCAACTAAAAATGTAAACACTTGAAGAAATATTCCTAAAAATTCTATAAAAATTAAAATAAACTACAAAAATCTATTTTGTGATTCTTGTAGGAGTATTTTTTGTCTGGCAAAAATCACGTGCTCACAATATGCAAGATCACGAGGGACTCAAAACTGATTTTTGATTCACACACTTGGTTTAATCACCAGCTGAAGGTATATCTGAGGGACTTGCACTGATTAGGGAAGGTGATATGCTCAAACTCGATCAAGTCGCAGTTACAAGACAAGAAATACACTCCATTGTCCAAGTACCCCAAACCCTAACACTTGGTTACTCTCTCTTATTTATGCTAAAAATGATTCTTTTGCAAGAACAATATTATGGGATGATATAAGAGCTTTGCATGATCACCTTAAATGCCTTGGATAATAGGAGGACATTTTAATGAAGTTATTAAATCAATTAAAAAATTTGGTGGTTTAGATATTAATAATAGGAGGGGCGATAAATTTTTACAATATCTTAAATTGTAATCTAGTTGACCTTGGCTATACGGGAAGTAGATTTACGTGGTCCAACAATAGACAACTTACACATCAAATACTAGAAAGACTAAATAGATGTGTAGTAAATTACGACTGGCTAAACATTACTAGAAGAGAAACTTTTGGAAGCTCAAATCTAGAATAAATTGACTTCAAGATGGAGATTCCAACACTAAATATTTCTACCTCACTACTTTACAAACACGTAGACTCAATCATATTACTGCGCTAAAGACTCGGTGGGTAACTGAATTTTGGATAAAAAAGAGATAAATATCTCAATTGTGAATTACTACCATAATTTATTTACTACTATTCACAATCACCATGCACATCCCACTTACAAAGCTAGTTACAATACCATCACTAATCAAGAAAATGACCTCCACCATTACACAATTGAAAATCACCAATGCCCTACAATATTTCCATCCCTTAAAGGCACCTGGGCCTGACGGATTACGCCCATACTTCTACCAAAATTATTGGAGTAAAATGAGCTCATCTGTAATATTCTTCTGTATGGAGGTATTTAGTACACAACAAATTCCACAGGAGGTTAATAAAATATACCTATGCCTTATTCCTAAAGTCCAACAACCTACCTCAATCACTCAGTATCGCCCCATAAGCCTTTGTAACACCCTTTACAAATTAATCACCAAAATTATTGTACACCATATCAAACCCATATTATCTAGCCTCATAAACCTAGAACAATCAGCCTTCCTGAACAATCGCAAATCATCTGATAATGCAATTATCGTGCAAGAGATCATGCACCATTTTAAAAAAAAAAAAAGGGTGTTCATGCATCCTTTCTCCTCGAATTAGATCTAGAAAAAGATTTCGACAAATTAGAATGGGAATTTATACATGACACCCTCCACTACTTTAATTTCCCAACAAGTTTGATTAAATTAACTTGCATTCCCACCTCCTCCATCTCAATCTTAATCAATGGAGCGCCCACTCCTTTTTTCACCCCATCAAGAGGCATCCGCCAGGGGGACCCCCTTATCACCCTACATTTTCATTCTATAGATGGAGATGCTAACCCGTAAAATACATGCTGAAGTGGATTATAAGAAGTGGCATCCCATAAAATTATCTAGGCAAAGTGTCCCAATCTCCCACTTACTATTTGCTGACGACATAAGCTTAACATCTAAATTAACCACAAGGAGTACCAATTCTATCATTGACACACTGAATCTCTTTACACGGGGTTCGGGATTAACTATTAATTATAACTTATCAAAAATTTATTTTCAAAGAATACTTCCATGGAAGATAAAGTGAATGTGATCAATTTCTTTAACATGGGGGGGGGGGGGGGGGGAATCAATTTTTTGCAAATACCTCGGATACCCTATTTCCAACAAGCGACCCACTAATTGTAATTTTCAATTCCTCCTAGATAACTAAAAAAGTTGACTTGCCGGACAGAAGACTAAGTTATTAACAATGGTTGGAAGAACCACCTTAATAAAGGTTACACTCAACCGTTTACCAAATTATGTTATGCAGCTTATTAAATTACCTACTAATATCACCAATCAATTAGAACTTTATCAACAAAATTTTCTATGGGTAACCACACCACAAGTTCACCTTATTAAATGGGAGACAATCCAATCACCAAAAGAATGTGGTGGACTAGGAATTCAAAATCTTTCTGATAAAAATAATGCACTACTTAGATAATCAGCTTGGAGATTGTTCCATGACCCTTTCTCCTATTGGGCTTCAATCCTTATCTCAAAATACTCTAGGACAAGGGTCCTACTAACATATCTACTAATTGGAAAGCCATCAAGCAGGGATGGTCTTTCTGTCAAAATGGAATAACTTGGATTATAACAAATGGAAATCATATCAACTTCTGGATAGAACCCTAGTTAGGTCCTAAATTGATATTACGTAACCTAATTGAAGGTCCTCTGCCCCATAATGAACACACATCCATATTAGCGCTATATGTTTCCAACAATTCTATCAATCTTAATAAATTGCCTTTTGAGAAACCTAATAATTTGCAGAATCTAATTCGTAATCACTATATTCCACCACTCACTAATAAGACATCCTATGATCATATTTATTGGGGGCTGACGACTATCAGACACTTCACTGTAAAATCTTTTTACAACAAATTGCATGATACAAAGGATAATAATTCTTTCCAATGGTTATGGAAACTTCAACTGCCTCCAAAAGTAAAAAACTTTCTTTGGATTATGAGCCACCACCGATTACCTACAACAAGTTCTCTACACAAAATACAACTCTCCACAACTTCAATTTGCCCTATCTACCAGTACCATGATGAAACTATACATCATCTCTTTTTTCATTGTCCATTGGCACAAATGATCTAGCATCAATTAGGTATAAACCCCCACGATGGAGGTCTATGAAGGTTTCATGAAAACACCTCCCTTAAACTATCTAATTTCATCTAATATCAACAATCAATTATTAGACGAGTCCACCCTCATATCCTAATTTCATATGCTCTATGGCACATATGTAAAAGTAGGAATCGTAATATTTTCGAAGGAACTCACTACTATCCTAAACTTCCTAATATTATAGGATTAGCATCTAAAGCGCCAACACCCATACTTGCCGCACCCAAACCCAAATACATGCACGTCAAATGAAACCCTCCAACTTCGGGATATTTTAAACTAAATACTGATGGAGCTCGTAACATCACTCAACAAAAAAATGGTCCTGGGGATGTAATCAGAGACTCAACATGCCATTGGATACTGGGGTATATAGGCACAAGAAAAATAGGAAACGATACTTATATGGAACTCAATGTACTACTTGAAGGATTACAACTTGCTCTACATCACCACCTGACTCCACTGGAAGTCAATGTTGATTCAACAGATGTAATTTCTCTACTTAAATCCCATAATCCACAATACTCATCCATATTACATGAATGCAGGTATCTGTTACACCAACTGGGTAGGACTTGGGTGATACATACATACAGGGAGTAAAACCGAGTAGCAGACAAACTGGCAAAACATGAAGCAACTATAGCTCATGATGCTCCAACTACTATCATCTAGCAGCCACCAACTTTTGTTTTACAAGATTTGCTAGCAGATCAATAGGGAACACTCCACAGGCGCACATCATCTACAACAGCGCAGTTGGAGACACGCTCCTTTTGCTTAGATATGTTGGCAACTAATTGTAAGAGTAACCATGCACCTTTTTGTACTACATCACAAATGGGTATCAGTGATCATCACTCCTTTTGTAATACTGAGCCGAATAGGTGCTTTGCTCCTGTAATATTCTGTAATTTATAATATATGTTTCTTTGGTTGACAAAAAAAAAAGATAATATAATACAATTTTCTACAATTAATTCTAAATATTTTTTTAATCAAAACACCAAACTTTATTCATTTGTGGGAGTAATATGAGAAGGGAGTGCTCAGCACCTACCCCTTGTCTTTGTTGAATTGATAAATAACCTATGGAAACAAGAACAAAAAATACAAGAAAGATTCCTACTTGAAACTATCAACTAATTCACCATATGTTGATACCCAATTTTACCCTCATATTTTTTCAAATAATATATATATTTTTAAAATCTTATTTTTGCATCATTACTTAATTACAAGATCTATACAAATATTTTATAAATTCTTTCATAATTTTTAGAGCTTTAAAATTATTTTTTCTTGCATTTAAATTACTTGAATGTTTATTAATTATTTCTTAAATTATTTTATGATGACTTAATCACCCAAAATTACTATTTGCATCAACCTATATGTTTCACAATATTTTTTTGCTTCATATTAAATAATTATATTTGTATTTTTAAGCTATTTACACAATTTACAATATTAGCCTATATGTT